TCCCCCCAAATTTATATGTGACTGTACTTGGTTGGAGACAGGTCCTTAAAGAGGTGATTAAGCTAAAAGGAGGTTGTGAGGGTGGGTCATGGTCCAGTATGACTGTCCTCATAAGATGAGAAATTTGGACTCAGACATACACAGAGGAAGGCCATGTGAAGGCACAGAGAGAAGGGGGCCATCTAGAAGCCAAGGAGAGAGGCCTAGGGAGAAAGCACTCTGCTGACACCAGACTTCCAGCCTCTAGAAGAGGGAGGAAATAAATGTCTGTTGTTTATGCCACCCACTCTGTGGCCCTCTGTCACAGCAGCCCCAGCAGGATAACACAGGCATCATGGATTTGCTCATCTGTTTCCATAGCACCAAACACAATATTTTCTGACTGACCCACCAGGGCCCCACCAGGCTGAAGCTCCCGGGGATGCTTGGCCTCTTGAGCTGGATTGTCTTGCCTACATTCTTCTCCGTGATGCTGGTGCCTGGCACAAGAAGTCTTAGGAAACAGCTGTTGCATAAATGAGTACAAGTGGGAGGGATGGGGAGAAGGTGCACAGATGCAGAGCAAATGTCCTGAAACGACCGTGATAAAATGGGCCACATCCTCAGATTTGTCTGGCAGAAATGTGCTTACCCAATTTCTGGGCAGGAGGGAGCTTCTTCCCTGCTATCTCGGCACTGCCCATTCTTGCCAAGAATCTCCAGGCAGGAAGCAGCTTGAATCTCACCCTTGAGCAGGCTGGATCCCTCTGCCATGTGCTACCAACCCCTGTTCTCCTCAGCCACAGGGCCTTTCATGCTTCTAGTTACTCATTCAAGACTGGCCTTCCTTGCCAGTCTGTAAACTCCATCCTCCCTCACCCTGTCTGGAGGGGTAGCCTGGCACCCGTGAGTGCCCCCTGGCCATGCATGTCCCGGGGAGTGATGGATGAAGACTGGAGGCCACCAAGGTGCCTGGATGGGTACACTTCCTCCATGACGCCTCCTTTCAGCCTCCTGGCTTTCATCTGGTTCTATTCTTTAGGGCACTGAAGAACGTGACTTCCTCCAAACTGAGAATTTTACTCCATGTTTATGTCCAAGTCTGTCGTATTTCCTATGGGACTTTTTTGAGATTTGGTGTTTATATCTCACCTTCGGAAGTATGGTGCAGTCTCTCTGATGGGCCACTTTCTCAGACTTTGCTAGGATGTTTCTAGGGGCAGTGTCCTGGGGTGGGGGATAGCCCTGTGGAGTGGGCATCTGCTGGTTTTAGCTGGTCAGTCATAATCTCCTTCACTTTTGCCACCAGCACTATAGGGCATCCTCTTGCCCCCATCTTCAATCCATGTGGTTTGGCTGGATGAGAGCTCAGGGACAGCCTTTATCTCAGGTCCCATCAGTTAGCAAATTCCTGCCCTCTGCACAATGGCCGAGTCAGGGAGATAGGCATGGGCCCAGTCTGAACCAGTGGGGTCAATCCTAAGATTTTGTCTGGGATCACTGAGAAAGAGAAACTCTCTTTCTGCGGGGATAGCTGAGGTGTTAGTCATCCCAAACCTGCTAGTGATGTGGAGAGCACCTGCCTGAGAGAAAGGAGCCAACATGGAGGACAGCAAAGCCAGGAGCATATGAGTACCTGGATCCAGCTGTGCCTGAAGTAAGATATACTCAAACTAGTTTCTTCTTCTTCTTTTTTTAAAGATTTTATTTATTTATTTGGGAGAGAGAGAGAGAGCGAGAGCACGAGAAGGGGGAGGGTCAGAGGGAGAAGCAGACTCCCCACTGAGCAGGGAGCCCCATGTGCAACTCGACCCTGGGACTCCAGGATCATGACCTGAGCCAAGGCAGACGCTTAACTGACTGACCGCCTAGGCACCCCTAAACTAGCTTTTTAATAAATATACAATTTGTATTTTGGGCAGGACATTCTACACATTGCAAGATGTTTACCATCTCCAGTTCCCACCTGCAAAATGAAGGACGTTTCCCTAGTCATTGTAACAACCAGAACCACCCCCCAATCATTTTCGCATATCCCAGATGGTTGCCCTTGGTTTTTCAGTTACTTGAGTCAAGAATTTCCCACTTTTTATTTATTCCAGTTGGTTTTCTGACATTTTCAAATAATGACTAATGACAGTCTATCAACATTTTTGGGTGTGAGGGATTTAATCCTTAGCATGTCAGTTAATCTTGTAGAGCACAAGACTAGTTCTGAGAGGAGCCAATGGCTAGCACCTGTCAACATGGACAAATGAAAAGTTGTCCAATTCTGGTTCTGGAAAGATGGCACAGAGGGACAGACCTCAGCATATTAGGGCAAGCCTTGGATATTGGGATGACAATAGCTTGACCTAAATCAGGACACCTGCAGCTCACAAGCCCACGATGCACTTCCTTGTGGGCAACCAAGTGCAGCCTCCTTTGGGAGATTAAGAGAGCCACTTGGAAGGGTAATACCAATTGAAAAAGAGATGAGAACTCCAACATGTTCAAATCAATAAAGATCTTTATAAGATCTACAAAGATGGTGACTGGGTCTGTGAGACCAGGCCAGTGGTGGGAACTCGCTTAGGGAGGGAGGGATTCAGGCTGTAGCATTTTCTCTGAGCTGCACAGGCTTTATGAGGGGATGCTGTGTCTTGCCTCCACATGTCAGGTCTAAGTGAGAGGAGAAACATTTATCTCAACATTGGAAGGGACCTAGAGATGCTCTGGTCCTTCCTTCCCTCTAGTATGGCCCCAGAGTGTGTTCCGTCAGGCACAGCTCAGAGCAGGCTGCTAATAACCATCAATGGCTGCCCTGCCTATGGGACTGAGCATAGACTCCTCTTGGCATTCAAGCCTCTTTCAACCACAGCTCCCCCATGCACTAGCGTGTGGTCTTACACCAGGCATCGGGTCTTGTGTTGCCTCTGGTTCTCCATCTATAAATAGTACGACAGCAGTGCCCAGCTCCAAAGGTGGTTCTAACAGATAGCAGAGTAAGTGTTGGCTGCTACAACCATCATTTTAGGATTTCTGCTGCATTCAGTAAAGAGCCAGAGATTGGATGTCAGAAGTCTTGGCCCTGCCACTCGTTTAACTCAGAGCTAATAGAATTTCTTAGAGTCTTGATTTCTTCATCTATAAAATGAGAATAAGGACCACATTTCAAGGAGATGCTGTGGGGACGAAGGGAGATAGTGTTTGTAAATCAAGTATAAGGAAAAGATTTTGGATAGTATGTAAGTCCCTTCATTTGGAAAGGCCGCAGGCCCTGGCCTCCCCCACCCTCTAAAAAGCACAGTTTCAGCAGAGATTCACAGGGAGGCATCCGAGGGGCTTGACTCCCGCTCCCATGAGTCTTCACACAACTCTGTGCATCTCTCCCAGACTAGCCCATCTTGTTAACAGCCAGTTGTGAGTTGTCCTAGCAGCTCTGCTGACGGCTGGCCGCTCTTACTCCCTGGAGCTTGCCTGGCAGCACCCAGTATGGCTGTTCATGAAGAAATGTAAATGAAGGACTGCCTGCGGAGCTTCTCCTCTGGGAAAGAAGACCCAGTGCTCTCCCAGTGCAGACATGCCACCTTGTAAGTTAGAGGCAGAGATGTGACTCCTGCTCATAAAATCCACAGGGCCTGAGCCCTCCGCTGAAGGTTCAGCTTACTGGTGACTGGTGACAAATGCCCAGTATGCAGGCTGACTGGTCGAGTTTCCTTGAATAGAACGCTGTTCTCCCTGTGGGTGTTAAACCAGCAAAAGGAAGTTAGTTCTGTTTGCTTAGTGAGCATGGGTTCAGAACACAGAAGTTATGTGACTTGAATGTAAAATGGCACCAGATCTTGCGAGGTTGCCATATCTGCCTCTATAGTCAGGGTACCCCTGCCCCACAGACTTGTGCATTGTCCGACCGGGCACCCTTTCTTGATATATTGTGATGGGCACTGCCTACATGTTCTCTGTCCCCATCTTTTCATGCTCTCATTCTTGACATTTTATTTCTGTAGAGGGTTTAGGGTCCAGCTTGTGGAGCTACAATAGGCTTGAATCTGGGTCATAATGTTCTGTGAGCAGTGTGACCTGAGGCAATTCATTTCACCTCTTCTAAGGTGAAGATTGCTCATCTAGCAAATGAGAATAAGAGTATCTTTCACTGAGGGCGGGAGGGTTAAGTGAGCGTGTAGCATACTTCCTTATTATGGTGTTGGGCCCTCACTATACTCCCCATCCATAACCTGTGTTTATACACATTCACTTAATTTTTGTAGAAGAGTAAAATGGCTCCTTGCTGAGCTTTCTTCCAGCTCAAGGACATGCGTGATAGTCAAAGACTTGGTGGGTGTCTTGGCTATGAAGGCAGTGAGATCCTATTTCAAGAAGCACCCTGACATGTTTCAGGCTGGTAGGGCGGCCCTCTGCCAGGCATGGGTCTATCTGGCTGATGTGGAGACAGGCCCACTTTTCTGGAGGTCGGTGGCCTCCTGAAGTCCCTGCTGTTGGTGGATTCCAGGCCCTCTCCTCTTTGTGCTCCAGAGAATAGCTCCCCACAGCTCGGGCACTGTGAGGGCCAGACAGACAAGGGCAGGGCGATGAGTGTGCTGGTCTGGGAGGTCAATTCCAGGCACTTCTGGAATTGATGGACTTTGCTGCTGGCACAAAACACTTTCCCACAAGAAAGGAATGTGAGTCATCTGGAAAAAGTCACTCTACCTTCCAGGCAAACGAGCCACTGGAGGAGAGCTAGAGGTTCTGCACACTGACCAGCCTGTGGCTCAATACTTACTGCCAAACCAGTGGATCTCTGGCATGTGCTGGATATGGCTGTCTTGACATTCCTGGTCTCCTTAATGACCCACCACCCTGTGCTCCCCACACGGAAGCATTCTGTGGTGGTAGGTGTGTGAGCCATTGTGCTGGCCAGCAGGGACACAGTGTGGCACCTGCCCCCTCATGCTCCTATCCACTTGGGCATTTCTGCTTGGGCCCACTCGGCCTCTGCCCCCAACCTCACTGCTCGCATCATCCAGACACAAGACCTCTCCATGTTCATTTTTATTTAAAGACTCAGAAACACAGGCATCATAGTTTGTCGTCACTGTCAGTTCTTCCAAAATCACACGCTGACATTTGTGTATAACAAAAACATCGGTGTGTGTGTATGTGTGTGTGTGTGTGTGTGTGAACTGTGCAAAGTACAAAGAACTTCCCAGCCAGGCAGCTGAGCTTGTTTGGGGTGCCAGAGCCTGGTATTCACACAGTGAGGCTGCCAGGGAATTATTTGCCCACGGTCTCCCCACTCCACTTCTGAGGCCCTTTGGTGGACCAGATATCCCCGTCATTTCAGTGTCCGCTGACCTCAGTGGTGGCTATGGACTCTACTGCATTCCCCAAAGTGAGTCACCTTGGCTGCCAAATGCCACTGATAACCAAGAAGTGTAAGTTGCTGGGCCAGGGTAGAATGTGAGGGTTCAGACAAGGTGCTGGTTTCATCTTAGTAGCCAAAATGAGTTTGTTCTTCAGGGCAAGTTGGCCCAAAGGGTCTAATTCTGCTCCTGCTCTTGTCTGTGGGCTAAATGGTCATGAAGGCTGATGAATTTGGCGGGATGTGTTTGCCAGCAGCCCAGAGTGTGGGGGCTGGTCGTGCACTTCCCTGCTGTCTGGGAGTCCCACCCCAAAGGATGTCCTGGTGATGGTTGGCGTATGGCCTTGTTTCCTTCCCGAGGTCATACCAATGCCTGCCCCAACTCTGCCACAAGAGAGGCCAGCTGATGCCTTGCAAAGGCACTGGACGCTGGCCCCAGCTCTCTGCCGTGAGGGGTGCTGGTTGCTGCTGCCTCACTAGGCTGTTCAGCGATTCCCACCTACCACGAGCATCGTGTGGGCGGTGGCTGGGAGAGGAAATAAGGTCCAAGTTAGTCTGTTTTGTTGCTTGGTAACTGCCTTCATGTTTTTAAAAAAGCTTTCCTTATTATCTGGGGATTTGAGTTAGTTCTGGTCTCCCTGGGGAACCCGTGTCTCACTCCGCATGTTAATCCATGCACATTTTTGGTGATGGCATTATTTTAAACACGCACATGATTTTTGTGCCTGGCAGGTGACTCATTTGGCATCAATGGCAAGTGGATACCTTCTGGTTGTCATTAACTCATGTCCAGGGCTCCCTGGGTTTAAGCTGGATTTTGTGTTTCTTTGATTCAGAACAAATTTCTCAAGTCTCTTAAATCTATGATCATCTGGAGAGAGGAGAAGAGCCTTTGTCTAGGCGTGACCCCACCAGCATGGTAGCCACCTGGAGGTAACAGATAGCCAAGTCACATCCCCAAATTAGGAACTCTGAAAATAAGTGTTTGGTATTTCAGAGGGTATTTGGCATCAAGCGAGGGAATGTTTCTGGATTTTGTTGCATCTTTGAAAACCAGGCGATCCTATGTTACCAAAGGCTAATTTAGTCAGCCTAATTTAAACTTGAGTGGCTTTGTAACAGTAAAGAGAGAAGGGGCTTATGAATTGTGACTTTGAGCTGATAGGAACATTCCTATCCTTAAGGTCTGACTCTCTTGAGAACGAGACTGCCTCATGACAGGGCTTCTCCCATCCGTGTCTGTGGGAGGGCTGGGCTGCTGGGCTCAGGAAGAGGCCTTGATGGACCCCGTCCAGGGCAAGGTCCCAGGATCAAAGGTGCCCCTTCCCCTCTCTCTCCTCCCGGCTCCCTTGGATTCTGCAAGTCTGCAGCAATGGCTCAAATCCCTTTTCTCCTCATTGTACTTCCAGTCTCTAGACCAACATTTGTACTGCCTGATAGGGAAGCATTTATTTAAAAAAAAAAAAAGACGAAACCGTCACAAGGTGGTAAATCTGAACTGTGGTTGAAAACTGCACGTTTCAGTACTGAGAAATCATATTTTGATAATGCTAATTGTAGTCATTTTCTCTAAAGCAATAAAAGGAAAATTCTGCCTTCCTAGGCTGGGGTTGACCTTCATGTTCTTTTTACTGCCACACAAAAGGCAATTATAGTGACCCTTCCTTGAAATGGTTCCCGTTCTTGAATAATAATTACCACTGTCTAGACATAGCATGGGGCTTTGGTAAGGGTTTAAAGAAATTGGCTTTTTCCAAACTCCCTCCAACCACTTAAATGGGTTCCCTCTTCTTCACAGACCAGTAGCCAGCACTGATGTTAAGTATGTGGGCTTTTCAGAGTTTTCCAAAATTCACATGGTACATATAAAAATTCTGCCCACTTGATATCAGCTCATTTTTTTCTTTCAAGCTCAACCAAGTCAAAACTGGTTTTACAAAAAGGCAGCACCAGATGTATGAAAAATAGGCAATGTATGACCTATTAGAAATATAGAAAGTCTAACAGCTTTACTTTAAAAAGATGTTGTAAGAAAGAAGCAATGCAAAGGGACAGTGGCGGCAAAATGAAACGTGTGGCTTATAATATGGGTAGGAGACAAAGCCAAGTGCGATCTCGTGCCTCCAACAGGAATTGTGTGCTGGGCTGCCCCAGGGACGCTGGCCACCCGGCCAAGGCCCTGCGCCGGGAACACCCCTGCTGAGTGGCCAGGTGGCAGGCGACTGAGGTATATAGAGAGGTGATGGAGCAATCTGGACCCCCCACGAGAAGCCCAGGGCAGCTCGTCAAGACATTCTGCCGATGCCCTGGGCCCCGTGCCCGCCACCCAAGCCCTGCAGCCCTTCCGCAGCTTCCAGGCTCGTGTGGGCAGCAAACAAGAATGCTGCCGCTTAGCAGTCCATCACAGAGCCAATCGACCCGCATCAGCAGCTTCTCTTTTCAAAGATATTTCTTTACAGTTTACGCAGAGGGAAGCATTTTGTCGGAGAATGACCCCCAGGGTGTGCTCTTGGTGGGGGGTTGTGGGCAAAGGCACGACCTCCACATCCCCCGGCTCCCGTCCCCGTCCAGGGTGGCCTCGCCAGGAGCCTCGAAAGGGACCTGGACCCTCCGTGGCCTGACTGCCTCTCTCTGCCCCCTGGGGATCTCGGGGAGCCTTCGTGCCTGGGGAGCGGGGTGTGGGGAGCGTGTCTTCAGAAGCTCTCCACAAAGCTGCCCGGGAAGAGACCGGTGCGGCCGTTCCTCTGCAGGGTCCCCTTGTACCAGCCGTCCTCCCGCTTCTTGTGCACAAAGACAATGTCGCCTTCCTTCAGCTCAATCTCCGCCTCACTCTGGGGAGGATACGAGACCACCACGCGGTACCTGGGGGGGAAACAAACACCACATTGGGTGAGCCTGACCCTAGGCTGGAGGATGACCCCCAGGGCCTGCTCTTCTCTCTGCCTTTCCTTTTCCATCCGGTGTAAATTATTATAATTTGGGGCTACTTCCCCCACTTTTAAAATTTTCTACTTTGATTTTAATTTTTAAACAAACTTTTTATTGTTTATTAAAAAGAATAATTTCCCCGTGCTGTCCTTGTGGACCCCGATCTATACAGCTGGAATGTGCCTGCCTGAAATGCAGTCCCTCCCTCTGGCCCAGCTTGGACTGTGGCCTCGCCTGGGGGTGCTGCAACTGGAGGAGGGCAGCTTCGGCTGCTGGTGCGGAGGTGGGCAGTGCGTGTAGCTGGACCTGCGGCTCCACGGCAACCACCCAGCAAACAGCCCCTCTGTCCAGCCCAGAGCGTACACTTCAACTTGTGCTGCCTGCCATTGGCCACAGGAGAGGAATGTCAGCCAGACTAATGGCCCAGGAGCAGAATGACCGATGGCCTTCGGGGACTGGGTCACCCCTGAAGAGGAAATGAGCCAGGGGAGGAGCCATTTATTGGAGGGTTGGTGATGCTGGACCTTGGAGGCCCAGGGCTTGACCTGGACAATAGGGCCCACCCCTGGGAGGCACTCTCCCGCTGCTCTCTCCTCCCTGGCAGTGCCTGGGCTGTGGTTCCTTCACCCTCAATCTCCCTTGGGCTGCCGGCTGTGAAGGCCTGTCGCCTGGGTTCTGCCTCCTCCATCGGCCACAGCCACACAAATGGCCCCTGAAGGAGATCACCCAGGTGTCCCTGCAGCTGGCTGTCCTGAGGACTGTCACGGGGCTCTCTACGTGGAGCCTCTGACCTGTATATTCTGGTTTGGGAGAAAGCAGGACATTATAAACCAAAGAGATCCTACATCAGCTTTTCTTAAAGTGTGGCCATAGACTCCACGACCCCTGGGTCAGGTCCCTGGCTCTATCCTGGACCCACTAATGAATCTCTGTGGAATGGGTCCAGGAGTGTGGATTTTCAACAAGTTCTATGGACGAATGTTTGCTTGCTGCTGTCTGGGAGTCAAGGTGAAAGTGCTGAGGAAGTCTTCATTCTTCAGCCACATGTGCATAGGGCCTGAGGCACTGGCCCACTGGGATCAGGACAGGGAAGCCATGGTTTGGGGCACCTGGGGTTGGTACTCTGGAGGCTGGGGGATGATGCACAGGCAGAGAAGACCCAGGCCCCACTCTGGGAAGCTCCCGGTCCCAGCTTGTTCCAGGCTGTGAGAGCAGAGGGCAGAGAGCAAGGTGGCCCCTGAGGCCATGTTGGCAGGCCAGCAGGGCTCCTATTGCTGAGGGCGCAGGGCCAGCCAGGCAAGCTAAGTGCTTTGGAATGGCTGCAGGTGTGGGAGGGTTGGGCCCATTCCCACTGCTGTCCCTGGGCTTCAGACACTGGCTTTTGGGGTATAAAGGAGGAGAGAAAGGACAGTATGCCTCTTGCCCTCCTCCCAGCCCAGAATCTCTGTAAATGGCTGCCTGCAGCCACTCCCCAAAGGACAGCTGGCCTCTGTGTTTGTGAGATCTGTGGGTCCGGCACCCAGGCTGTGTGTGCGATGGCAGGGACCAGTGCAGACCCTACCTGCGGCTCTCTGCCCCCCTCCACCCTTCTCCAAACACCCGCCGCCTTCTCTTCCCCGAGGAAGAAAAGGCAAAGAGTGAGATGATTTCTCAGACTTCAGACACAAGTTTTGGCTTTTGCCTCAACTGCCAGATGTGAAGCAACAAGCAACTCTGAAAATATAATTTGCTAGAAAGAAAGTAATTTGGGGCTTCTGAGCAATTCAATGACTTAATGAGCCCAGCTGGATGATGTGGGCCTTTTGTATAAGAGTCGAGGATTTAATGTTCCTGTCCAGATCATTCCAAGACTCTGAGCTATTTTTCCTGCTGCTTGAAAGTAATTGATACTCCCTGTTATAGACACAAAGGGCCAAATGAACAGTTAAGGACAGCAGCTACTCCCATGTTGTGACCGTGGCGTCATAAATCAGAAGAGACTTCCCTGTGCTGAGGTAAGGTTATGTCAACCATAGATCATTTTCAGACATAAAACTCAGGAAATCAGAAGGCTCAAAATCAGAATGAATTCCTACCATTGCATATTGCAATTAACTTTACATGTGCGGTGTGGTGTGTCCTCCTCCTGTGTCATCTGCCCCCTCCTGACAGCAGGCCTCCCAAGGGGGCCTCTGAGTGGCAGGCTCTTCAGAGCACTTGCTGTAGTGCTGTTGATGATGTGCAATCCCCAACCTGGTAGAATGCGATCATTGCAGAGCAAGGTCCCTCTAGGAACTTGGAAGTAAGCATACGTCTATATCCTGCACACTGAACTCTAATACCAACACATGTATTAGTTGCCTATTGCTGCTGTAACAAGTTTCCACAATAATTCAGCACAAGTTTCTTACTCACAGTTCTTTAAGTCAGACATCTAACAGAGTCTCACAGGATGCATTCCTTCTGGAGGCTCAAGGGGGAATGCACTCCCCTGTCTTTTGCAGCTCCTAGAAGCTGCCCACATTCCTGGCTGGACACTCCTTCCTGCATCTTTGAGTCCTCACACTGCATCACCTCGACCCTCTCTGCTGCCTTCCTTTTTTACTTACAAGGACTCTGTGGTCACACTGGGCCTGCCCGGATAATCCAAGATAATCTCTCCATTTTAGAGTCAGCTGGTTAACAACCTTTATTATGCCTGCAGCTTTCATTCCTTGAGACCACGTGAGTCCACAAAGTCATGGTTTTGGGGATTAGGGCATAGACATCTTTGGGAAGCCATTACTCTGCCTACCATGACACATAACAGATCAAAGCCAAAAAACTTTTAAATCCTAACAAAGCCAAACAATTCACACAGGCCGGTAAGAGGTGAGGATAAATACATGGACTATGTGAACATGTGGGAAAAAAAATGTTGCCAATCAAAAGTGGGGGAGGAGGTGCCAGGCAGCCCTGGAGGCATCATCAGATCATTCTTCTATATATCACACCACTTCATATTATTACAGACATCATTTTATATATTACTATTGTTCTTTTTCATGCATTCATAATTTCCCAAGTATTGATTTATGTGTTTTACAAATATTGTAACTATCAGATAGGTATATCCTCACTTTGTAGATGGGGGAACGGGGACTCAAAGAATGAAGGCACCTATTTGGGTGAACTGGCTGATAAGTGGTCAGTGCACCTGTTTCTCAGAGCCACTCTGCAACCTCCCTGAGGGGTAAGAGAGCCAGGAGGCAGGCATCTAGAGGACGTGCGGTGGGGCGGCTGGCCCAGGAACTCTGCTGCACCTGCCCAGGGTCGGGATATTCCCGCCAGGGAGACAGGGCATTAGACTGTTACTGGATCCCATAACTACCCTGCTCTTATGTGTACCCAAGTACCTTCCAGAAATGTGGCTCCCTGCATACACTGTCCATAGGGCTTAATATATCTACCTAAGAGTAGTTTCCCGAGCAAGGGTTAGTAATGGGCACTCTGGTTTACACATTAGGCCTGTGGGTTTGGCTCCTACAGGTCTCCTGAGAGCCAGGCCTGCCTCTAGTGAGCTGGGTTGCAGGCCTGGCCCAGTGGGCCTGGGGGGAGTTCTCCGTGGTTCGCTTCCCTGGGCGGCCTCCCTCCAGCCCAAACTTCCTTCCTCTGTGAGCAGTTTGGAGAGCAGCTCCCGGTGTCTTCCCAAATCTTCAGGAGGGAAATGGAGAGATCCGAGGGATTTTGTACATAGGAGACCCCCCGGACATGCAGCAACCACAGCCCCGCCGCTCTGCTCAGGGTGAGAGAGGCCCCCTCCTCAGCATGCTGGTGGTAGGAACCTCCTGGAGTCTCCGCCCCAGCTGCCCTTTGCCTTTCTCCCACCTTTGAACCTGTAAAGTGGCCTTGCACACAGCAGGCTCTCTGCCAGTCTGTGGCCTGCAGAGAGAATGCCCGGGCCTCCGCAGCAGAGAGTCTTGTTACAGCTGCTCCCCTCCAGCTGCGGGCTAAGTTTTATTCACGAGTCTGCAGGGGCCCTCGGCCAAGTGCTTTCTGGAGCTGCCTCAGCCCAGAGACTAAGCCTTTCCATCGTTAAACCCTTGCTCCAACCTGCTGGGGCTCCCCAGGACATGAGGCAGCCTATGGACTGCACAGGGTGAGGGGAGGGGGCATTTGGGGGCTCATTAGGCAGTAGCTTGGTTTCAGGCTGTATTTTGAAAACTCTCATCACTAATGAGCTACACAATGTGCTGGGGACAAGCAGGGTGCCACGAGTCTCTGGGTACAATAAGCCCTGATTAGATGGAATATTCACAGAATGAGAGTAATTCTCTGAACTTTCTAGTTAATCATAGACTCCCATGATTTTTTAGAATAGGGTCTTTTAAGACCTTTTATGAAGGAGTCTGGAAGTCAAGGGATCTGAGGAGAATAGAAACCTAGGGGAGATATGAGAGCAGCTTTGAAATATCTAGGTCTGTCATTCTCAGGAGTCACCAACTTTGTGACCTGAGGCAAAGGACTGGGAACCACATTCAGAAATCACAGGCCACTGGGGGTTGGTCTTGTGGAAGGAAGAAGGTTCTGACATGAAAGAGTTACAGAAAGTTGGAGGAGGCTCCCTGGAGGGGAATAGAGGAAGAGAGAGAAAGTGTGTGTGTGTGTGTGTGAGGTATATGTGTGTGGCATGTGTGTGGTATGTGTGCGGTGTGGAATCAGGTGTGGTGTGGTAAGGTGTGAACCCAGTCTCCGCAGGGCTTGGGGGTTTGCTATAGGGGAGGCACTTCATGGTAATGGGTTCTGCACTGAGTGAGTCTGAACAGCAGGTATATCTTGGACAGACAGGGGGTTGGTGATTAACTGTGGAGGACCCAGAAGCGTATGCTGATATCCTGGCAGGGCTATGACATGGTCCATACTGTTTGAAGGCCAGAGACACCCAGGTTCCTTGGTGGGCAGACTGTACATTGGGGGGACTGCTGACCATGCTCCTCTGAGTGGGTCAGAACCCAGGCTCTGAGGCTCTGAGCCAGCAAAGACCTGTGGGAAACCTGGAGTGGACCCCTGGGCTGAGTCCCATGGCCTTTGTGCCCTACCCTGGAAGCAGCTGTGACATCTTAAAATTATAAAGCATTACCCCCAAATTGGCTTCAAGCCCTGGCTTGGCTGCTAACTCACTGTGTGATCTTGAGCAAGTGACAGCCTTTCAATAACCTCTGTTTCTTCCTCTATAAGATGGGATACCGAATTTGTAGGGTTCTTACAAGGACTGAAGTAACACACACAAGACACCGAGAACAGTGTCAACAGATGGTAAGCTGCATGCACAGCATGGCTGTTCTAGGTGTTTATGGCTGGAATCCATACTGGTTGGTGACTGTCTGAATGTCACTCCAAAAATGTGAGCTATCATTCTAAATGCAAGCATAAATGCGGACTTACACTACAACGCTTGATTAGAAATCCATAACCAGCTCGCGCTGCCCCTCCACCACCTGGGGAGATTATCTTCTCTGCGGCCCTGGGTCTCAGCACCACAGCATCAGCCCAGCTACAGCCCATCGTCTGGGTACGTCTTGGCAAACCGGCCTGTGGCTGATTTGTGTGGTCCGAGACTAAGAATACGGTTATTTTTTTAAAAGGTTGAAAACCACATCAAAATAAGACTATTTTATGACACAAGAAAATCACATGAAATTTAAATTTTGGTGTCCGTCAGTAGAGTTTTACTGGAACCCCCACACCCATCATTTCCGCTTTGTCGATGGCTGCCCCCACACTGTCATGGCAGAGCTGAGTAGTTGTGACAGAGACCTTATGACCTACAACGTCTGCAGACTTTACCATCTGGGCCTTGACAGAAAAGGTTTGTCATCCCCCATTTAGGCGGAACCTCAGCTAGCTCTGCCTTGGTGCCAGAGGTTAGTGGATGCTCAGGACAGTGGTGGCCTTCTAGGCTTCAGGCACTGGGGAGCACGGGAAAGAGCAGGCCATCAGGCAGTGTGGTTGATGGGAGGGGGGATTCTGACAGAAACGCCAAGATTGCTTTCTCAGGAGACTGCTCACATTTTTACTATTTAAGCAGCGTTCCAATGAGAAGGCACTTAGAAGGGAAAGGACTTCGCCACTGTCCTAATTTGACACAATCCCCTCTCTCTGCAGTGCCTTCCAACCCTTATTCGAAGCTCTCGAAGGCCTACCTCAAATGGGCCCAGCCTCTGACCCCTTGTAAAGTTCTGGCACCTGAGGCCCCCTCCCCGGTAGATTCAGTTTATTGCTCTGTAAAACTCTAGGCTTAACTGTGAAATTTCTGGTTTTGGTAAAGAACAAATGAATAGGGCGCCTGGGTGGCTCAGTTGGTTAAGCGACTGCCTTCGGCTCAGGTCATGATCCTGGAGTCCCGGGATCGAGTCCCCCATCGGACTCCCTGCTCAGCAGGGAGTCTGCTTCTCCCTCTGACCCTCCTCCCTCTCATGTCTCTGCCTCTCATTCTCTCTCTCGCAAATAAATAAAATCTTTAAAAATATATATTAAAAAAAAAAAAGAACAAATGAATATTGGCAATTTTGTATAGTTCAACCCAATAGACTATATACATTGAAGCCAATTTGGGAGTAATGCTTTATAATTTTAAGATGTCACAGCTGCTTCCAGGATAGGGCACAAAGACCATGGGACTCAGCCCAGGGGTTCACTCCAGGTTTCCCACAGGGCTGAGGGGACATAGTCCCTCACTAACATCATCGCTCACTCTTTGGGCTCAGTACTCCATCAGTTCTGCCAAATGTCCTGATGAATCCCTTGCAAATCCCAAACTCAGGACCCAGGTGGATTCAGAATGTGAAATATGCTCCCCTTCATTCCCAAATGTGTTTTATCTGATGCTCACCATCCAAGCTCAGGAGCCTAGTAGATGTGGGTAAGAGGGATGTTTGGTAAATTTAACCTGCCAAACATCCCCACTGTCACTGTTTCCCTCAATGGCTCCAATCTCAGAGACAAGCCCACACCAAGGTGCCAGAGGATGTGAGCCCACCTTCCCCCCCCTTACCTCTCCCTGGACAAAGGCTTGGGCTCAGGACGAATGGCAGCCATGGAGAGAGGTGCTTGCCTGGAGGGGGATGAGGAGAAGTTCAGATCCAAGGAGCCCGCCTTTCTGTGCAGTGGTTCCATGCCCACGGCACCTTGCATCTCGCTCTCTATGGGGCAGGACCCTGCCCTGCCATGGATGGACAGCGAGGACACTTCGGGCCCCACTGCACCCTGGAGTGAGGTGTCCACTGCCACCTGGGGGTCATGGGTTGGAGAGATGGACGGTGGGGAGCGAGATTTCTTCTTGGTGGATGCCCCAGCGAGAAGCTTCAGCAGCCCACTCTTCTTCTCTTTCTGGAAAGACACACAGAATTGAAATCCAGTGGGTTAATACTCCTAAATGCCCTTGTTGTTAGTGAGCAGGGAGAGAAATATAATCTTATTTAGAAACTTTAAACAAAATCTTGTAAACCTGGTTAAAGAAAGAAAACAGAGCTAAGACTGAAAGTTTCTCCAACTCTTATTTTCCTTTCTTTCCCCAAACCTGGCACAAGTACCCAGAACAGATCCAGGAGGCCCGGGGGCAGGCCCGAAGGCACCATTCCCGGGAGAGGATGCTGTGGGGGGCCCTTCCCAACAACGTACCCCCCGCCATGGCAGGGCCATCCGGATGGGGACTTCACTTGCTGTGCCACAGGAACCAGCAGTCAACACAACTGGCTTCTTTTTACCCGAGCAGGCAGTGAAATGATTCTACATCAGGCTTCCTGAGATTAGCTCCCTCAACCCCTGGGTTTATATAGCCGAAGCCCATGTATCCTGCACATCTTTGTTTGGAAACCCTGGGCAGCACTGTATGCAAACTTTCCTCTGCAGAATTATTTGTACCACACAGTGTGTATGTGTGCATGTCACATTTATTCCCTGAGACAGTTCTTTGCAGGAGGGAAGGACTGCTTGTCCCAGAGCCAAGGGCAGCTCCCCAGTGAAGGCAACTTCCCTCAGTGAGAAACATCCTGATAAGACCTCTTTGCCCAGCAGGTGGCTTCCTTATCTTAAGAGAAAGGGTTGTTACAGAATGTGACAACATGAGGTCACGGCTCCTCACACACAAAACCAGTGACATAATCAGAAGAATCTGCCCTTACAATCATGGGGCCATGAATACACCGTCCCACTACAATGTGCAGACCCCTCCCCTGCTCCATAACTCACTCTCAGTTCTCGTGGAGGACTACCCACCACGCCCCGCAAAGCCACCTGCCGGTGGGACGATGAGCACAGAGTCTTCACTGGAGGCCCCGCTCAGTACTACCTTGACCCTTCTTTCCTTAGTCTCATATCCTGGAGGCTCAGAGCAAGCTCTCAATGAGGAACTGAGAGGCAGGCTGGGGTGGCCACACAGACCCAGAGAAGGATCCGGGCAGTGTCCTCGGGTGGCCGGGACCAGCTACTATGTCTGCCCTGAATTCTGCTATCGCTGTCAGTGAGTGGGCACATCAGCCTCCCTCAGCCTGCTGATCACAAAGCACATAAGGAAGTGTGTGAAACATTGCCAGTGAGCGATGTATGTGTGAAAGAGAAAGTGTGTACATGCAGAAGTGCTTTTAGAACAACACCCTTGCTCTGGGATTTGACCATTTTTATGGCCTTACTCAAGTTTTCTTTTTTCTTAAAGATTTTATTTATTTATTCGAGAGAGAGAGCACCCATGAGCGGGGTGGGGAGGCAGAGGGACAAGCAGATTCCCCGCTGAGCAGGGAGCTTGACTCGGGGCTCGATCCCAGGACCCCGAGATCATGACCTAAGCCGAAGGCAGACACTCAACCGACTGAGGCAACCAGGCACCCTGAGAGTTTAGTTTTCTAATGTTCAGTGGAAATCAGGTGGCAGGGGGATATGGGCGTACGGTGTAAGACAGTGGCAGCACACGGAAGTCTGAAGCTATAGTCACTGAGTCAGCAATGGCCATTTGGTCACAGGGCTGAGCAGACCTTGAGGTGGGCTGAGGGAAGCTTTCCTCTTCCCACCTTCCTTGTCTGCATGGTTAGAGGCTCCTGGGGGAGGGTGGGTTAAGTGGTGCCGAAATATTCTTAAAATGCACATCTCTAAAATGCATATCCTTAAGCTAAGCCAGTAACACTTTAGTATGAACAAGTCCGTATGTTTTCTCTACCCTTTGCAAGGATATTGATAGAAAGAATGGAAGTAGATGTCCTGGATACTGTCCCTGGTGAGGAATTGCTGGCACGAGCAAGCCCCAGGCTGGTGGGGAGCAGGTGGGTGTGGGGTAACGCAGCGAAGGATAGCCCCCTGACTTTATGTTGCCCAGCTCTGTCCTGCTTCCGCAGCTACAAAGCGCGGTGATACACTTGGAGAGCTTTGTGAGTTTGGCCACGAGGGGGCGCCACACAGCTGGCATCAGAGGCTTCCTTGTCTCCCAGGTAGCTGGGGCTCCTGAGGCCACCACCAATGAGAGGTGCTGACAGCTGGCCGCGTGTGTCTGCTCCTCATGATGACAGTCTCCTTATCCGAGGCCATGAAGGGGAGGGCACTGGAGGACACAGTGTTGGCGTGAGGGGCGGTGTATAGCTCATGGCCCTCTGGGTGCTCCGGGAGGGTGAGCCTGCCCACCGGACCTAGGGAGCCATGTGGACACCCAAACGGAACATCCAAATATCACAGAAGCTATATGCTATCCAACGCTCACATTCCAGTTACTAATCCAGTGGGATAGTGAAGCTGAAGACGCCAAGTGATTTAACAGGATATGGCCAGAAGCACAGACAGTGACCTAAGTTATGCCCGCTGTGCAGTGGATGTGCAGCCCTGCCGGAGCCCCGGGGGGAGGAGCCACCGCCTGGCGCCGCCTGCAGTCCCCGAGGGGCTGTGGGCCCAGCCGCCTTTGCTGCCGCTGCCTTAGGCTGGGCCTCGCTGGGACAGACCGCAGGGGAGGGTGCAGGCTGGCCCTGGCGTGAGGCCAGCGGGCTTCCGGGACCAGGGGTGAGGCGAACATGTGTGGAGCTGTTTGGGCACCAGGGGAGGGACAAGCCCGCTTGGCCGTGATGCCGGATCGTCAAGGGCACCACCGGCAGAGGGGTCTGTCAGGAGGCACATGCCCAGTGGGACAGCACCTGCCATGAGAGATGGCCGCCAGCGTCCCAGTCAAAGGGGTTCCGTGTGGGAGAGCGTTTTCACACTGACTGTCCCTATCACCCTGGGACAAGCGATGAGCTCACCTCCATTCAGAGCCGGTGGCCCTGGCCTCTCCCTCATATGTGACAAAGTTGGAAGGAGATAGAACGAGAAGTGGGGAGCTGCCTCTTAGACGTTTCAGGGGTGAAACCACAGCCCTACCTGAGACACCCCAGCAAGTTAAAAAAGAAAGGAAGGGACCAGGGCCCAGCTGTCAGCCAGCATGACACGCTTGTGACTCCTATGGTGGTGTCCTTCTGCCTCGAGAGCAGAGCAGAGGTTCGATCAACAAACGCTTTCCTGCCAGGCGCCGCCTCGGACAGAAAGCCCTGGAGCCACGGGCCACGCCATGGTGGGGCGTGCTGTGAGGGAGAGAAGACAGAGCCACTGGGCCACTTAGCATGTTTGCAGGAAGTGTGGCCTTAGCTGTGGTTTGGAAAGAGGTGCACGGATGTGATGGATAATTTTGCTGTCCCAGTTCCCCACGATTAAATATAATAGATTGTTTTCTTAATTTGACTTTGGCAAACACTCATATCACGACTGGAAAACCCTCTCCTTTGCCGTCCATGACAGAATTCTGCTAATGCCTTATGTACCCAGTTACTACAGATTGCTGTGGAACTTGGTGACCTAGCGATTACCATGCACCCAGAGTTCAGGGAGTGAGGATGTAGGTGTTCCAAGTCTTTCCCTTGCCGGTTGCCCTATTCTGGGTGATGCAGGTAAGAATCCACTGATGGGCACTTTGCTGGTGGTGGGAACAGACTTGCAGATCAATTTTAGGAGTGACACCACGGGACAATAAGAAGTTTTAGAGGACACAATTTCAGGTTAATCTGGACTAAAGGTTATTAAAAGAAAGATGGATTTGTCTGGGTTTCTCCTGGGAACAGGACTAAATTAGGGACTTTCCTGAGCCCAGTCAAATGCAGAGAATGGTGACGCTGTTATGATTTCGGGGTCGTTGTAGGTATGTTTTAGTGTTTTAGGAGACTCACTGCTGTCCTACACCGTTTCCTGCCAGCATTCCGCTACCTCCGTCTGTGGCCTCCATTCCCCTCTCTGGAGGAGGGTCACTTTCCATCCCAAGGCCACGGTGCAGCCATTTCAGCCTTGTAGGGGGACAACAAACACTCTGAAGTGTGGGAACAAAATGCCTCCCTCTTATAAGTCCCACGTGTGGAAGGCACATCTGCAGAGAAACGTGCCCTCATCTTCCGTCTTCTCCCAAAATGAGTGATGGGCTTCTCCTTCTCTGTGAGGCCCTTCACTGCGCCCATGCAGGCAACCTTCACATGAGGCCTCCCTCCCCTTCCTCTGCCCCTGGAATAGGATAGGAGCACAGGGGCAGCCCAGGCCAGTGGCATGAAGGTGCAGCTCCGAGTCCTGGCTCTGCCAACACCGAGTTGTTAAGATGACAGATGGAAGAGTGCTTTTTAAACTATGAATGCGTGTCACAAATATTTGTTTGTGTGGCTGTTTTTATGATGTGTTTATATGATGTGCTATTTTTAGGTTTTTGCAAAACACCCACCACTTAGTTAGCTCCCAGTATGTTTTTGTTAAATGAATAAAATCAACTTCATTTCCACCTGAGGCAGGTGTCTCACTGTTAACCCTCATGTTGCCTTGAGAGAGCCCACAGGCCAACACGGGGTCTCTCAGCTCTCCAACTCTGGGTACAAAGAACCAACTAGGGAGTTGGATAAAGTGTAAATGTTGGCCTCACCCTCAAAGATTCTAACTCAGCAGGTCTGAGATGGGGGCAAAAAGAGTGCTTCTGATCCGGAACCCAGGAAGGGATCAATTATAAGCCAATGGTCACGTATCAACCTGCTAATGATTTCAGAAGACTACAGATAGTGCTGTAGAAACCCAGAGAAGGGACCAGCTTCATGGGAAGGTGGGGAAATAAGGAAACTGGTTCGTTGAGCACCTACTAAATGCCCAGCCCAAAGAATATGCATGGGTTTAAAGCCGCGCTTTCGAGTGTTGGCCTGCATGGGCGTGCTGAGTCTAAGCTGAGGGTCTGAGCTGCCTACCAGCTCCCTGGTGGGGCCGTCCCCCTTAGTCGCACTCTGAAGGGCAAGGGCGGATGTATGAATGGAGGCTCAGCAAGCAAGACAGGCCACGGCAGCCAGAGGGACAGGCACGAG